GTCTGAGCTTGTCTTTAGACCACGTGACCTCCATTGATGGCTATACTCTGTTAAAATCTCTTAAGAGATTTTAACAAAAAAACAAACTTTTTAGAAAAAAAACAGGGACTAACTTTGAATGTAAAAATGGATTCATTTACCATTGGTAAGTATGGGAAAATTGTTGTTTACTCCAGGAAAATTCATTTTTTGGCCGAAACGAAGAGTTATTATCCCTTTAAAGTGTGACTGACTGTATGTGGTGATTATGATCATGGCAGAGTTTTGGATATTGTGAAATCAGATATATGATGAATAAATGGCAAGTGATATGTGTCCCTGTAAAACTGGCAGTGGCAAATTTGTTTTTTGACATCGTCACTCTCATTTGTCATAGGCTGTAAAAGAGCACATCCTGAAAGACATGACAGATATGGGGAAAGCAGCAGGACTCAAATCCTTTGAGCAGGTATTTCTGACTAAAATAAAATGTTCTCCTTGCACTCAATGAAGGTTGATTTCTTACTGAGGACAGTCGGTGCATATGCACCTTGCATACATGAACTTGTTGACAGTTAAGATTTGAGAAAATTATCTGATTTGAAATGTCTGTATTAATGCATCTTTATTTTTAAGACAAACAGAATTACATAGTGTGAGGAAACAAAAGTCACAGTTTATGAATATTAGTGGTAAGGCACAAAATAATGATCATTTTACATAATTGTTTTGAACAAAAAAATTGGATGATCTTGATCAAAATGCGTATACTTGATTTTTTAGGTAAAGGACATTCATTTGCATCATGAGTTGTTTAGTGTGGAGAATGGCCTGCTGACACCGACATTCAAGTCAAAACGCCAGGATATAAAGAAATTTTTCGCAACACAGTTAGATGAAATGTATAGCAAGCTGGATTGAGTTCGTAGTAGTTAATTGATGCATTGTAGAACTTTAAAAAACATCAGATATAATTGAGGAGCTTTAAGATATCTGAAATATGGGTAAGTGAATAACAGGAAAAATGCTGTTAATCACATTTTCGAAAATCAGAAATGGAAAAAAAAAGAATAGAAGTAGAAAGAACCAGAAAATAAAAAAGGCATTTAATGTTTTAATGCTCAGTCAACCAGAGAAGAAAATGTTTCAAGTTGGTTGAATCAGTTTACTGCATTAGTAAATTGTGTCACAGATTAGCTCTGTAAAATAGTGTCTTGCTTTTTTTTTCTTGTGCCAGTAAAACAGGGGTTTCTTGTAGAGGTTTTGGAAAAGAGTTAAAAGATACTTGAAGGCTTGAAGATGATTTGTACAGTGTCAATATGTATTTGTGACTATTATCTGTTATAACTCTGCTTTACATATCATGTTAGTATGCCAGAAACAACAAGTAACACATTGCCTATCAAAATGCAGCCTTTCCAAAGAATGAATAAGAGGGAAAATGTTTTTCCTCACTTGTTAGACTTGTATGTATTTAAGGGTAAACCATGAATAAGCAATGTAAGTATACACAACAGGTTGGACCACATCCCCCTCCCTTTTTTTGGCAGGGTGGGAGTGGGGTATGCCTGGTCTGCATTGTCAAAGGACGCTAACACTAACACATTTATGTATCGTATTGAAATTATGAAGATAACATATTAACATTTGTTATATCGGAACAGGAATTGGGGAAAAAATGTATGGCATTTCTCCGTGCATTCTATATAGTTTTCTTACATATGGTAAAGTTCACGAGAATTTCATGGATATTGATTACAGGCCCGTGAAGCACCTGTATCATGGTGTTGTCCTCTCCATAAGGTGTTCTAGAAAATGGTGAAAGGAATTCAAATGAAAATTAAGTATTCTTGTCAGATGGGTGAAAACTTGTTTTTTGTGTGATAGCCTGTATTATCCCGACCCGTTGTAGGCAAATTCCATTCTTGTGTATCGATCACTGTATGTTGTGTTACAGGTTAGTATTGTTTGAATTATTTGTGGTTGTTGTTAGTTTGAACATATTGATATATTTTTCTATACAGAGCAGACAATATGACCAGCAAACATTGCTGTAGGAATTAGCACATTGTTATTACATATAGATATGTGAATTAAATGGTGGGGTTTGAATTTCGTTAAAAAAGGTTGATCAAAACCCAAGGAAAAGGAAGGTATGTCCTACCCTGATCTGTGGAGTTTGATCCTTTTTAACTAGTTCTTCTGAACTCTGATACTTCCCTGAGCTTCAGATCTGATGCATATAGCTTCTTTTTCAAATCTCCACATGTGGAAAGTTATTGTATATTGGTCAGTGTGTATTCATGGGATTTTGAACATGTTTAGCAAAATTGAACATGAACATGAATAAGCTGAGCTAAAGCAGATCTGAGACTTAAGCTACATGAATAAATTCTTGGACTTTAGCTATGTGAACAGATATGGATTTCACCAGATCAAATAGGTGATCAGTAATTGTCTACCAAGTCTCTGGGCATGATGCCTATTGCCATTTCATATTGGAAACCTCCCATGACAGCCCCCCAAAAGAAATGTTTTCAGTATGTATTTTTGATGAAAATTAGCTCTCTGCTACTGAGGTTTGAATGATATAAACTTGTTTTTGAAGTTTTGCAGTGGAGTGAAATGACTTTGCTATTTTTAGTTGCACCACTAGAGTTTTACTTTTAATTTTTAAAATTAACAGTGCAGTCCAAGACACAGCAGCCCATGCATGAAGCATCATTGGAAAAGTGGACTTCCATACCGTTTTGTAATTAATATATTGCATATCTGTTTAAATTCCTGTACCAAAAGGGACCTAGTTTTTCGGTTGTCAGTAAATGTTGGCATTTCCCTGTCATTTACACTTGTGCATTTATTGGAGTGGAATAAAGCAATGGCAGCAAGTGAGGCTAAATATTAAGTGTATCTACATTTAAGTTGTCCACATATATGTAACATTAGGGTGACTAGGAAGCCCAAGATTAGAGGTGCCACATTCCTACAGTGTAGCAGCATTCCTTTGTGTTTTAGTATACTCTGCTGTACAAAATGTAGTGTTTTGATGCTCTCCACCAGAGGCCCTTCAAGCTGTGTTAACCA